TTTGATTCGATATCTTCTACCTGATAAAACACGAAAATTATCATTAAATTATAATTGGCACTTTCATTCCTGTGAATCAATAAAAAATTGATTTTAATGATAAAACGGTTATAAAATCATAATCCGAATGATAATTTTCGTGTCTTATCACAAAATAAAAAAGGGTAACAAGAACCAGTGGCGGTAATTAGAGTACATACTGTATCTCACTTGTTCGAAAATTTGCTCTATCTATCGCGAGATCAACGATTTCGTGTACCAAAGAGTTGTTTTATTGCGTAGAATGAGTAATTGCTTATGTCAGAAAAGATGGATCGCACGATGTTTCGATAGTACCAAAACAGGAATAGACAATTAACATTCTCGTTCTTTCGTCAGCAAAATTTCGCGATCTATCTTTGTCAGTGCAAGTGTGTATCCAGTTTTCTCAGATTCTCAGACGTGATTAAGGCGAACTGTATCGCCGCTCGTTTTGTAAAATCTGATGGTTGTAGGTGATTAACCTCGGTCAAACAAAACAACCTAAAAGCTTATCGAGATAATTTCAGATATATTATCGTATATCGCCAATTGTATTTCGTCCGACAATTTATGTTACGAATGGAAAATTAAAATGACTGGTATATTCATCGAATAGCCTGCGTGTGACAGGAAGTTGAAGTGATTTATCTCGTGCATTTTCGAATGCTGTGTCACATTAAAGCTCTCATTGAAATTAAATAACAATTTCGAATAAAAAATTTGTGTTTTCGTATCCATGCAGCGAAACTTTACGACTAGATAGGGGGTAGAAAACTCTCGTGTTATTTCTCCCCCGTTTACTACTACATTATTTGACGAGATTATACGCTATCGCGTTTCGCGAGAACTCAAGTGGCCGGGAAAGTCCAAAACATACCTGAAACGCATTCAACATACGTTCTAAATACTTTCAGGTGTATCTTAGAGATCATGCTAACTTCCTTCGGGCTTGCGTATTGTCTGGGAAATGTCGATACTTTCAGCGGAATCGTCCAAACTTTACAGGTCAATGGACCTGTGACGCGAGAGATTTTTTTCGTTGCCAAATCGATCCTGCAGAAATATTCTCCGATCGATTACGACGACAAGACCTTGTTGTATCGTTTACAACGTGTAATAAAAATGAAGACTTTTCTCGCGTCATATCTAGCTCGGTGAAAAAGCCTTATCACACTTAATATGTTCATGAACGTGATGTCAATCATATTCTTGTACCGATAAAGTGACGTGACAATTCGTGTCATTCAATGAAGTATGTGTTTGTGTATATGTATGAGCATATGTGTGACTTTCGAAAAAGATGGACAGACTCCTTCCGCGAAAAAACCATTCTAACAGATGGTCTCCAACGGCGCTGTTTTGGTACTTGGATTCTGCGTAACGCTATCGCCCATGCTGGGCATCCCGTGACTGGTCGTGCTGTGACCGTTACCCTGCCTACCGGCGTTAGTCTGCGGATTTCTGCTGAAGAGTCTCTTGAGCGCCGCTCTAACCTGGGGCTGGCAACCGACCGTCGCGAAAATCAGCACCCCTTGGAAAGCGTTTATTAAGTCGGTGAAGTACCAGATGTACTGCGGCCCGCCGACCGCCCATGAGACCACGTCCGCCACCCAGGTGATACCCATCACGATCACCAGTTTCATGCATATGCGGCCCAGCGTTGCCCTGAAAGCAAAAAAAGACGCAAAACTCAAGTACAAATATAGACGCTTCTGACAAAGAAATGCTTAGCGAGTGAAGAGAGTTTCTTATCTACAATTTCGTGGTAGCACGTCTTCAAGGATCTTGTCGTTAAAAGATAACGATGATACGACAAGGATGATAAGAGACGGAGATGCGTGCAACTCGCGTGTAATTTCAACCAAGCTATCGGTTGACCTGCACATGAACCGCAGAGGAACCGCAGGCGCGAAAGATCATGAGCGGAATTGATTGCAGCTCGGTTGGCATTTCGCTGTTGTTTACATTACGTTATCATTGTGTCGACGACGTTAAATACGATCCAGCGAGAAATTATTCAATGCGCTGCAACGGGACCTTCCCTGAGTTAATAAAACAATCGTACGCTTTACGTGTGACATGTGTAATAAATGTAAACAGTGCGCGATTAATTGGCGTTGTTTATGGATTCAATATGCGTCTCATTACGAAAAGCAATTACGATATTTTTGTCATTAATGTTATTAACCTTTCGACACGTGTTTTCTTTCTCGAGTCACAAAATATTATGTGTCTAGTCAAATCTTGTAAAAGAATTCTGTGATTTTCCAGGTATTTTTGTTCAAAATTCAAAATAAAGAGAATATTTTGAAGATTCTTTGCAACTTTCTAAAATAATTTTTTTATTGTATGTATTTTTTAATGTTTTAATGTTGGATTTGCAAATGTAACGGAAAGAAAAAAAAATAGCTCTCATAAAATAAGGATTATAATATAAAAGATAAACATTCGTAATATTTTTCATTTACATAACACGTTTTCATTTTTTTATTACTAAAAAAATTATAATAAAAATATGTATTTTATATTCAATATTTTGTTAGGACATATTAAATATATACATAAATAAAGAAAGATAGATATATAATTATAATATATTTTAAACACACATAATTCAAACAACTTGGTTTATCAGCGATTACTGACTGTTTACAATATAAGAGCAAAATTATCGAAGAGAGAATTTTTGAAAAAAATTCCCTGAATCCCAATAAAATTCCATAAGAGCCCCAAGAATGATTTTTCCAAGTAAAAACGAGATTTCTGAGATTTCCAGGTTTTCTGTTTTTCCCGAGAGTAGATACCCTGAAATAGATCAACTCATTTCGCGATATCGAAGGCTGTAGCATCAAAGATACTTCGCAAGTAGATGATATGACGAAAAAAGTGCAGGCAGAGAAAAAAATTTCGCTTAAATCGTTATTATTCGTTACACGAAGCGGGAATGGCGCGAAATGCGTGCTTGCGAGTGAACGCATTCGCGTAGAATCGATTCGCCATGCGGTCTGCATCGCATATAATATATGCGTCCCGTCGCGAGGCCTCGAAGTCAAAGGATTATTAATGCGCCCCGTCAGAATATTCGCAGCCCGTAACAGCGCGGGGCAGAATATAGGGACATATCGCAGAATTATGGCGTCATAATGTCGCTCCGCCCGTCCAACCGGCGTTATCCTGGCCGCACACCACCGAGAATTCTATTTTCGTTTTGGCGTTGCTAATTATTATGAACGCAGCCGGCTCGGTCGCGCGCGAGCGCGAATCCCAGAGGAGGAACTCCAAAGGGGAAATGCACGAATGCCGCGAGCGGGCTGAAAATAACGTCGACGATGGAAGAAGGAAACGACGAAGGACAGGGGATGAGAGACGATGACGTCGAAAATGATTTGGGAGTTTCATTCGATGAACGTTGCTCGAATTCTTTGTCAATTCTTTGTGAAAGTACAGTTCGATGATTCAAGTCGCGACAGAGTTGGCAAACGGATAAAAATTGAAGTATTTTCGTTTCAATTATACGATACGCTACGCAGTTTTATTACTCCTACCTAAGCAGCGTAAAGTAACGATATCATAAATGTACACTGAAAAGTTTTAATCGTCTCTTAAAGATCTCTCTGCCGTTATTGCGTTATAGCTCTTAAGCATATTATATACAAGCGAACACATATACATTTTATAGTAGCTTTAAATAGTTGCTTGTGAACAATTTTCCGTTTAAGAATATTTTCGTATTAATTTGCGAAATAGTTACAATCAATAAAAAATATATTTTATATTTTCATGATATGAAACGCAACTATTCAAAGATTTTGTTCCATGAACGAGATAATATTAGGTTTGTGTCAAAGTTTCCGTTCGCAGAAACACTATACGATATTACCTCTGTCATATATTCAATCAGGAATTTTATAAAATCGCGAGCAGATGGTGAATAAGCGAAAAAAGTTTCGGAACGTTATTGAATGAATGCGATACGATCGATCATGATAGCTGTCGTGCATGGAACAAAGCGCGGCCGGAAGTGGGATGTACCGACTGGAATGTGTGCGGATGCAGAAAAGTATGGTCAATATTATGAGTATGGCGAACAACAATAAGCAGAAAATTCCTTCGGGGAAAGATGAGGCGCGGGTGAAGAGAGATCGAATGGTCCACACATGGACCAGCTCCGTAAATATTGAATCTCGCTTCGACACTCTACGGGGTCGTTTGAGCGTGTTGTAACGCGAGACAATAAGGAATGGAAGGACAAATGAGAGAGCGAGAAAGGGAAACGCGAGAATTTCAGGAAAGGCAGCTACCTCGGCACAAAAGACCCGAGGAAAGATGTCCATTATCGAGGATCGGGAAAACAGGAAAAGGAAACGCGCGCGCGGCTCGAACAATCATCGAGTGTACTTTTTGGTTTTATAGCGCGATTTCTGTTGTCGAACAAATAGATCGAATTAAATCATTAAGGATGGTTTGGCTGTACAATAGTAGCAAAAAACTGTCAAAATTAAAAAAAAAAACATTTCTTTCGTTTATACTGTTTGAAAAATCAAATAAATAAACCCGGATTATAAAAAGAATTAAAGAATCACAAAATAATATGGTTTTTAACGTCTTCTTAAAAAAAATAGTTGTAATTAATATTTTTCCTAATTTATGACAAAAACTTTTTATCGCTTGAAATCACTGCAAGAAAAAAAAACCGGGTAATTTGCAGAAAGAGAAAGAGAGAGAGACATATAATATTTTTCTACAGTTTTTAGTAAATAACTTTTAAACGAGTAATTAGATCTAAATCAAGTTTTGCACAAATATTTATTAGAATTTTCTTAAATAGTAAATAGAAAAAGTAAATAGAAATTTTCTTAAAAAGTAAATAGAAATTTTCTTAAAAAGTAAATAGAAATTAAATAGAAAATTTTTATTTCGTTGGCAATGTTTTTTTCGTTGTCAAATTTGTCAATAAATACTACAATACGCGATTTTCCATAAGAATCAATACTAACTTTAAACTTAAATAATTTCCAAACCGTTATAAAAATTGTGCTCAGGTTTTGCACAGATATTCAGAAGAAATAGTAGAGCAGTCTACGAAATTTTCATGCTTTCACTAATGCTTTGATATATGACACATACATCCAGGATGCATATTTCTTTCTTTATCTCTCGATATGTGATAAAAATATATTTTTTTAATATCGTTATATTCTTTAGTAATCGATAAACACATTTGCATATTAGTCTTTTATAAGTAATACAAGTTTTACAAAATGTATAACAACACAAAATGCATGATAAATTGTTAAGAGAATAATCGTAAAAAGTTTACGCTGAAATAAATTCATGTGAATGATATCAATGAGATATAATTGTCAAAGTTTAACGTTTTCATATGGCTTCAAATCTTTGAGAGAAAACAAGAATTGTAAATAGATTTCCGTATGAATTATTATCTTGTTTAATCGACAGAACGAGTGATTGATATCGGACGAGTCGTGTGAAGGGACGAGCTAATTTTGAAAGATGAAAGCGGTGACGACGACGCGGATGAAAAACGATCTGAAATAGACAGCCGCGAGCATTTACTCGAGCGTTTATTCGTGGTTGCAAATAAATGTCAATCTTTGCGGGTGGCAAGAATGGCGGAAGGTCTGCGAACTCGACGACGGAGTTAATTGACATGAGTAGACGGCGGAGAGAAATTTGTGCGATGATGACTGGGAAATATCAAATACGCTCGTCAGGAAGAAGGGGGTCGACGACTTCGGGTAAAATTTTAAACACATCCCGGGTAGTGCTTGTTTACTCGTCGTCACACAGACGGCTTTCAAAGTTTCTTGACGTTCGCGCAGTTAATCATTCATAAGGCGTGCAGTGTATGCGCTATTTTTAAACATGCAATAGCCGCTCGACTTTACAACCAATGCACGTAATTCGCCGTAGCCAGAATCCAATTATTAAAAAATAAAAAAGAAAATTGTGACAGAAACATCTATCCTTTTTTCAAACCCCGTTGCAACGTTACGTAACCGCAAATTTTAAATATACGGGAATACTAAAGGCGACACATAAAGGCAAGAAGAGATAAATACGGGCAAAAGATAAATACGAACAAGTTATGGAAAAAGTCTCGGCTACAATTGCGATATAAAAGTATCCTAAAGTCTTGCTAACGTATGCATTCGCACTTGTAAATCTTACTCGCAAGCAGTTGAACGAGATTCTCGGGACTTTCTTGTAAGAGACACATATCACACGAGGAAACATAAAGGCACATGGATATAACGTGTGAGAATCCTTTCCGCAATTTAGGTGCCACGAAGATATCGCGGAGCGCTATATAAGTATATTTATACGATTCTTCCTCTCTCTACGCGAAAAGACAGAGATTATTCTCGCGCGGTCGCATGGTGCAAAAATACTGTCGCACGTTCTCGGACGTGTGAAATATTTTTTGCCGGCGAATCTCGCTATCCGCGTCGCTATCTCGGCAGAAACGAGACGAAACCGAGGAAACACAGATCTCCACTTTACGCGACCGCTGAAATGGGAAAAGCGCGCGACACACGAAAGTGCATTCGGGCTGGCGAACTGGATCCGCACGACGGTTATTGCGAGTGTTTCACCGCGAGTGTTTATGCCACTTCCGCGTCTGCCTCTTGCTAGGACTGAGAATAATTCAAACCGGCTATTCTTCTTTCTCGGGCAAATCGGACGTGACGACCACACACGTTATTTGCGACCGTCTGGAACTCTTTGGCCGGTCGTGGAATCCGGCACGGAACATTTCAAAAGAGAATTTTTCGCGAGAGTCTGTCTCCGCAAATGCGTATACACCGCAATTCCGCGTATGGCAATAATGCGATATTATTCCGATTTAAAGAGAATTATTTTTTACTAATTTATCATTTTTTAAATGTTCGTTATCACTTATAATCTCTAGTTGTATTTATTCTTTGATCCAATAAAAAAGAAAATTTCTTTAAGACACATTCATAGATTTACTTCTTGATTATATTTATGTGCTTTAATTTTGACATATATATTCGTTGAACTGCAATCTGCTTCAGTAAATATATAACAAATTTTTAAACTGGGGTATAATAAAATACAAGAAGTAAATCTAATAATAGAGGCAAATGTAATAATCTAAATAATGATAATTTAATTCTGGTGTATTTTAGTAAATATTAGATATCCGAAAAAACGAGGATATTTATTTCATCTTTCCGATGACACATACAACCTACTATAATTCCCGTTTTAAATAATTAAAAAAAAAAAAATTATTATTTTTCATAATAAAAAAGCTACCAACGAATATGTTCGAAAGTTTTCGTAGGTAATTTATCCACGTCGAGATGTTCCGGAAACTATGCAAACGTATGTGATGAACGAAATCCGCACCGAAGGTATAGAACAAACTCGGGATGAAGCGAAATCTGCATATGCTATTACGTTTCCTTTGCCAACAATGGCCGTATTGTGTTCGCGTACATACATCACGACGGGCAAATAGCGTCGTCGAAATCGCGAATTGGGATCGTCAATATCAATCTCGAATAGAGCGAGAGAATGTAAGCGGATCGAAGGGACGTCGGGCGGAATGGAAAATAACGATTGCCTGATATCAGTCGGCTGGAAGGTAATAAAATAAACCTTTTCCTATGCGCGCGAAGTCTGCGATCTATAAAAAGAATCCTCCGTTCGCTCATATATAGATCGCCGGAAAATACGAAGTGTCAAATATCTATCTCGTAGAACGAAAAGACAGGAAATATTTTTGTATTCTATATCCCATCTCATATCACATTAAAAATATCTTTATATATCTTTATAAATCTTTAAAAATATCTTTATATCTTTTTGCATCTTTTTATTCAAAGTTAGAATTTTAAGGATTATATATCTTGATATAAATAAGTTTCACAAATTAAAAATCGATTAAAGTTTATAATTATAATTATATAAAGACAGAATTTATAAGCTACCGTTTACACGATATAAATTGTAAGTTAATATATATATATATCTCTCTCTCATTCTTTCTCTCTCTCTCTCTTTCAGAAAGTATATCAAAATAAGTTGAAACAGATGCTTTGATATCTCGAGAGTTTCCCTCGACTTTTCTGATTTTATGTATCCTTTCGCGAAATTATCCTTGTATGACCAATTATCCTTGATATTCAACAAATCCACAGACGTTGTCCTTCGATGTCCAAAATAAAGTTCCGTATTGCCGCGAAAAACGCGGATCGGACGAGCCAATAAAACTTGGTCGTTTTCA